CACAGTTCTGTGAGTTCTGGGCAAGAGAGAGGAGCGTGCTAGCAGGGTGCATAGTTCTGTGCTGTTCTTCTGGGTTCTCTGCAGCCACGAGCCAGCTTTCAGCAGGTCAAATATAAATACTTGGCTTAGTCACTTTCTCCTTGCTGGATCGAAATACAAAACATCCACAATTTGAAAAAGGAGAGGTTTCTTTGAGCTCAGAGGTTTCATTCCATTCAGCTGGCATGAAAGTAGACATGCCTGGCAGAGGACCAGAGGGGAGAGCTGCTCACGTCATGGTGCCAGAGGAGCAGAGGGAGGAGGTCAGTCCCAGGAGGGAGCACACCCCTCCAGCATACATGCTAGGGACCCACCTCCCACCAGCACTCAGCCACGGAGCTTGTGAGGGGCTAAATCCACGGGCCAGTACAGTGACCCAGGTGCGAATCACGTCCCAAAGGCCCCACCTCTAAATGCATGAATTTGGGGGGATCGGAGCTCTAACCCTGAGAAGACTTCTACAGGGTCAGGTGGTGCTCTTCTCAGTTTACTCAGGATGTTGCACAGGGAGCGAGAAACATTTCATCAGAACTTGGACAGGACAAAGAGAGACGAGGGTCGCAGCCAAGCTTGCTGACCATCTAGACTTACGACGCAGGACAAAGGTGAAAAGATGTCCATGATCTGTGTGTGTCATGTGACACATGGACCTATCCATTCTAGTTGGCTGCTAATGGACATAAAGACCCTAATACTGCATTAATCTCAGTAATGTGTGGCTCTAAAATGGGCAAACTCACAGAAGCAGAGTGCAGTGGTAGTTGCCAGGACCGAGGGGAAGGAGAAACGGGCAGCACTGCTCACAGGGCACCCGGCTTCAGCCCCTGCAAGTCCGTTCTGCAGACCGGGGAAGCAGCAGCGCGGCCGTCATTACCAATACCTACTCTCTCCTTAAACTTGACAAGAGGGTGGACTCTAAATGTTCTCACCACAAACTCATCAAGTTACTGACACCTCAATAAAGCTGAAGAAAAAAACAGAAACTAGAGTTTTATTTTGCATTTTTTTCTGTCCAAGAATTCACTGAGAAGCAAAATCTTCCATTTATAAATTGCAGGGAATTTTTGCATTTTCTGAGTTTTGTGCTATTTATTTATGAAGTTTTGTAGCCAGAATGATATTGGGTGCCCATTTCTACCTCAGCAATCACGAGCTTTCCTTTTTGGCCTAGTACACAGTTTTTGTGAGGGTGCAACAGGTAGTATAAGTGTCCTTTGCTCTGCTGCAGGGGTTCTGCGGGACCCAGAGCCCAAAAGCTAGTATCAGACTTACTTCAGACGATCTATTTCCACTTGTTTTTTCACCTTATCACAAACTGAAAACAAAATCAAAGTGCTTTACCACTTATTTTCACTCCTGTTGCTTACCTTTCTGCATTAAAATTGTGTTTTGATATTTCCCTTATACAGTGCATTTTATCCTTCAGCCTTATAAGGGATCTTATTTGATTTGCTTACAAAGTTTTGCCCATTATTTAAGTTAAAATCTTCCCTTGCTCATGGAATACTTTGATACTTTCAGCTGATCTCAACACTGTTTCAAAAGTTTCAAGTTAGAGACTGATTGTGTTTGTTACCCAGTCTGGAAGTGTTTCCCCCTTATTTTGCTTTCCAGAGCACATGCATCTTGCCTGCACAGATGTTCCTCAGCAGGCTCCTGCAGGCAAGGGGCCTCCATGCAGTAGCACTTGTGTCTCCAGTGACCAGGGTGCGAGCCAGTCAGCTCACGCTTACAGACTCACGAAGCCTGCCCCAGAAAACGGGAGGCCACACAGCTGTGCCCAGGACATAGGCCCTGTGAGTAGGAGCTATTCCTTGCTGATGTGTGGACAACCTTGCTGTCCTGCTTCCCCTGAGAAGGTATCTTCCTAGCAGGCATCTTCTGTTCCCAACACACTGTGCAGCAATAAACCACCTGGGGTCTGCATGAGGTCAGAGGTAAGACTTTTAGAAACTGGTGAAATCACGGAAACACAGCT